GTGTACTGGTTATGAGTTGGGCTGCTAACCTCAAGGTCAGCACTTTGAAACTACCAACTGTTCTGCGGAGGAAGATGAGGCTTTCTGCTCCTGTAAAAAGTAAAAATTTACAGCCTCAGAAACCCTTTGCAGGGTTGCTATGAGTCAGAACCGAATCCCTGGCACACCACCCCACCACCATATTCCTTGTGCTTAAAACGGTACCTGACATGACCAGAATGTGCCCAATAAGTATTTGTTTTTATGATCATATGAGTTCTTGAATAAATGATTTTGAGTAAATGAGCAATTAGGCAAAAGTCCTGACTTGTAAATATCCTTGGAGGAAATAGTTAATTAAGTTGAAAGTTATTTAAAAATTCAGATATGAAAAGACCAAAAAGACACCTGTTGAGTTTAACAGCAAAGAGGTTTTGTTGATCTTAGAGTGGTTTTTTTGTTTGTATTTTAAATATATTATGTGATAGTTTACATGGGAGAACATTAGCTTTACATTCATCCTATTTCTATCATTGCATTGCCATGGTTATAATCCCCCTCCATGCATCGTCAAACAACCAAAGGGTACACCCTGCAGGCCTGCCCCCTGGTGTCAGCACACAGCCCCTCTCCCTCTCTGGGTCTAGAGTTCTCAGCCACTCTATCTCTCCACGTCATCGTCTCTGCCTCCATTTCTGGCATAACTATTTCTTTGGGTAGGGTCCCACACTCTGCTCTTCTCCCTGGATGATCCCAGGGACCGCTGCTCCTGGACTGCAAAGTCAACCACTCCCCTCCTTTTGTTACAAAACGTCTACCTGTACATTTCTAAACTTCACAGTCAGTCCTGATAATAATTATTCACTATTGTACCACATCTCCTTTCATCAGTCCCGCCCAGACAGATTAGACACTACTCAGTGGAGATTCTACCTAGGCTCCCTCTTGAAAGCTTGTAAGCCAGTCACTTCTTGCCTTTGTAGGGCCACCCCCACCCCACCCCCCACTTTGGGCAGCCAGTGTCCCCCTGTCTACCCTGGTATTGAGGGGGTGGGAATGATCCTTGCTGTAAAGATTTTTTCCCTCTTTTGAGCTACTGCATCCATAGGTGTAGGTTAAGTTCATCACATTACTCTTTTTTCCCTCTTCTTTCTTCTTCTAGTTGAGCTCTGATCCAGCCATTGAAACCAGGTCAAGTGGGTATTATCAGCAAGTGTGGGTGTTTTTGTGACAGAGTGGTTTTGGGTCAATAGTGAGAGCTGTATTCAAATTGCTCTGAGTTAGGAGTCAATATTTTTCCCTGCCAAGACACCAGAAAAAGAGATGGTAGATGGGAGTAGACAAGAAAAACTACAAAAAGTATACATGTAGCTGAGTGAAGCTGGACCCCCATACCTGGTACCACATACAAAAATTAATTCAAAATGGATCAGTGACCCAAGTGTAAGAACTAAAATCATAAAACTCTTAGAACAAAACGGATGTTGTTTTGGAACCTAGGTTTCGACAATGGGATATTAATCAGAATGGAATCAGAGTTCTTGTAGATCAACACTAGAAGCTAGATGGCAGTGGACCAGTGCTAAGAGAAATAAGAATTCTGTATCTAATCATATTGTCAAGTTGTTTACAGAGATTCATACATTCCCATACATTCTAGGTTTCTAAAAGTACACTTGTCGTGTCTTTTTAAGAAGCTAATAGATCAGTTGTTTCTTCAAACCTTAGGTAATGAAACTGAAAGTCATGAGATCCAGTAATTAGGGGACCTAATAGAAGCACCCTGGTGTGACATTGTAGAGTAAGAACTTGACTACAGGGTCAGTTAGAGCCACAAGGTTGGAAGTTCAAACCCACCAACCCCTCCTATCAATTGAAGCCTACTTGATGGTACCTAAGAGCAACAGTAACAGCAATGGCATAAAGGAAAACACGGGGACAATTTTTAGAAGAATTCATGAAAACAATATAAGAACAAAATGAAAAACTCTATAAAGCGATAGAAGCATTAAGTAAAAAAAACGACATAGAAATTCCAGAGCTTAGTAATAAATAACTCCATAGAATACAAAAGTAGAATGGAAACAATAGAAGAAAGAGTCCGTGATACAGAAAAGCAAAATTCTGTGATTTCTACATTTGAAGAGCAAATAGAAAAAGAAAAAATTGTAAAGAGCATACATGTAAAGGTTCTCTGGGACACCATCAAGAGGAACAATATATGCACAATGGGAATTCCAGAAGAAAAGAAGAAAAGAAGTCTAGAAGAAATAATGGTGGGAATTTTTACCAAATATCCTTAAAGATGAAGAGATTTTCATCCAAGCTCAGTGAACTCCATAAAGGTTAAATTCTAAGAGAAAAGCATCAAGACACATTATAATTGAATTTCACAGAAGTGAAGATAAAGGAAGAATTTTGAGAGCAGCATGACATAAGAAAATATCACCTACAAGGGGTCTCAGTAAGGGTAACTGCCGATTTCTCCCCAGAAGCAATGCAGGAAACTAAGGTGGTTTCAAATACATAACGTTGTACATGTAGACTACTAAATTTGTAAATCTCATGGTAGCTATTAGTCTATAAATCTATTCACCAAAGTAAGGAAGGAAAACCAAGATTCACTAAAATAAAAGGTGGGGGGGACGATCACTTCTAAAAAACTGAGCATTGTTGATAAAATGAATAAAGAAGCCATCAACCTCAATAAAAAAAAAAGTATGACGACATGACTGAAGTAAATTCTTTTATTAATAATCATAGTGAATATAAATGGATTCAGTTATGGATTCAATAAACATAGTGGCAGAATAAGTTTTTAATATGACGTATCCATATGTTACCTAAAAGAGGCACAACTTTGACATGCAGATTTCATAGGTTAAAAGTCAAAGGTTGGTGGGGCAAACAATACCAAGTAAACAGTAATTAAAAGGGAGCCTGTTGTTGTTGTTGTTATGTGCCATGGAGTCGGTTCTGACTCATAGTGACCCTGTACAAGGCATCTGAGGCTGTAAATCTTTACAGGAGCAGAAAGCCTCATCTTTCTCCCACAGATCAGCTGGTAGTTTCGAACTGCTGACCTTGTGGTTCACAGCCCAATTCATAACCACTGAACTACCAGAGGTCCTACAAGGTGTTGTTGTTGTTAGGTGTCATCGAGTCGGTACCGAATCAAAACAACCTGATGCACAGCAGAACAAAACACTACCCTGTCCTGGGCCAAAGTCAATACTGTTGCCACGCTTGAGTCTATCAATGCTGCCACTTGGCCGGTCCATCTCATTGGGGGTCTTCCTCTTTTTCTCTGACCCTCCACCCTACCAAACATGATATTCTTCTCCAATGACTGGTCACTCCTGACAATATGTCCAAAGTACGAGAGGATAAAATTTGGCCATGTTGGCCTCCAACGAGCATTCTGTGTACACTTCTTCCAAAACGGATATATTGGTTCTTTTGACAGCCCATGTGTGAAGTGATATAAAAATTAGAACTGAATGAAAAAAATAGTACAGGGTAGCAAGGGTAGAAACCAGGAGACTTTGTTCTAGAATATTAAAAATGCAAGGACTGATTATATAGGAATAATAGCAAAAGTACCATTATCAGGACACTTTGGAAACTTGATAATTTTTTTAGGTATTTGTTTTGGGCTGTTAAATTTTTATACAGCTATATAGCTCCTTTGAAATATACTCACGGGTATTCCTGAAATGCATTCAAAATGAATTATATATTTGAACTCTGTCTTCAGCTAGCTTTTATTATTCCACAAAAAGCAGATGAAATAAGTCTAAAATTTTAAGTTATGTACTTTTTGTGAAAAGCTTTGTAAGAAATGCCTAAATTTGTATAACATGAATGTTCCAGTGTAGGGTTTCATGCCATGGTGGTATTTAATAGGTAAATTTAGTAATGCTTTTGATCCAGAGTTTTGAACTTAGGCATCTTTAATGGTCATACTCATTAATGAGTATCTGTGACTTATTTATAGAATGTTATAACATTATTACATTTGTTTTATTGGTGATTTTAAGTATGTGTCTGTGCCTCTTACATAGAGATTCACGTAAATATATATGGTCATTATGTAGGAAAATAATACAAGACCTCGCTAAATAAAAAGTCAAATTTAATTTTCATTTCCTGTGGTTAAGAGAAAACATTTTTCATTTATTCTGCATTAAAATTGAAACTAAGAGTATTGAACTCAAAATCTACCACTCTTATTTTTTACATTTAATATTTTTCTTCTGTATTTTATTAAGGAACGCTAAGGAGCTCTAGCATAGTGGTTACGAGTTGGGCTGCTAACCTCAAGGTCAGCAGTTTGATACTACCAGAGGCTCCACAGGAGAAAGATGAGGCTTTCTGCTCCCATAAAGATTTACAGCCTCGGAAACCCTGTATAGGGTCACTATGAATTGGAACCGACTTGACAGCACTTACTATACCAACAAAGAGGAAAAGCGGGAAATGAGTGGGGAAAATGAAAGCTTGAGAATCTTAAAGATCAAACAAAAAGATAAAATCATGATGTCCCTAAAGAATTCACCAACAGGACAGGGCAGGCGCATAGTTGCACATAAAAGAAAAGAAAAAATTCCTGGAGTCGTATCACCACATATTAAAATTAATTCTCCTAAATTTTTTAAAATGTGTGTTTTTGAAAGTGCAGGCAAACATGGACATTACTTCAAAGCATACTTATTTTTGTGCTCTGGACTTTAAAGCATCCTGAAATTCTGGGTTTCAAACATTTGGAATTCTCTAAATTAGTAACTTTAACATTTTTGAGTATTATTCCATCGATTTCCTGGTAAGGAAAGTTAGTATTTGAGTTTCCAGTACATTTAGTAGAAAGAGAACAATGAAGAATCTAAAAAGCTCGGATAAGGGAGAAGACAAAGAATGCCTTTTAAAATCGTGCTTATCCTATCATTTTTATGTTTGTGAGAAGGGATTATTTTTTCAGACTTTCTTGTTTATTGTGTTTTATTTTTGTACTTTTATTAAAGGTGGGAACAGAGAAAAGATCCTCATGGTAGAACCTATTATGTGGACCATAACACACGAACAACCACATGGGAGAGACCACAGCCTTTACCTCCAGGGTAATGTATTCTTAGTTATTCTTCATCCCACCTACAATTCTGTATATTAAATTTGATTACCTAAATGGTTTCAATGTGTGAATACTGAATGTTTGCTAAGTGAGATTTGTTTTGTATAACTACTCTCTCTTTCAGACAATGTGTGAAGGGCTCCCTCAAGAGAATTTTGAGCATTATTGACATGAGTTGCTGACAGCAGTTCCAGAATTTTGGTCCCTGTTATTTTTAAGAAATGAAAGGCATATTAGAGCTATCTGTACAATAAGCACTGGACTAAAAGGTCAGCTCAGCAAGGTCAGTGGTTCAAACTCTGATTCAGCCACTCCTCAGAAACCCTATACAGGGTCACTGTGAGTCGGAACCGACTCAACAACACTTACCAGCAACAATAGGTGTATGGTTCTCCATAGATAGCCGTCCTAAACTATGTAATTTCATGTGACGTAATGACATAAAATATATTATTGTTGTTGTTAAGTGCTGTTGAGTCGGTTCCAACCCATAACGACCCTGTATAGGATTTCTGAGGAGCAGCTACTGAGTTTGAACCACTGACTTTGTAGTTCAAACCGACTTTGCAGTCTAGCGCATTAACCTATATGTGTTTTGTATAAGACAACCACATGGTTTACTATGCCAGGAATGACAAATTGAAGAGGAATGGTATTGCTTTCATCGTCAAAAAGAGCATATCCAGATTAGTCATGAGGTACAACACTGTCTGTGATAGGGTAATATCCATGCACCTACAGGGAAGACCAGTTAATACCACTGTTAATCAAATTTATGCACGAGCCACTAAAGCCAGTGAGGAAGAAACAGAAGAGTTCTACCAACTACTTCAATCTGAAATTGATCAAACATGTAATCAAGATGTATTGATCATTACTAGTGATTGGAATGCAAGGGTTGGGAACAAAGAGGAAGGATCAGTAGTTGGAAAATATGGCCTTGGTGATAGAAATGATGCTGGAGATCACATGATAGAATTCTGCAAAATCAATGATTTGTTCATTTCAAATACCTTCTTTAGACAGCATAAGACGATTATACACATAGACCTCACCAGATGGAAGACACTGAAATCAAATTGACTACATCTGTGGAAAGAGATGATGAAAAAGCTCCATATCATCAGTCAAAACCAGGCCAGGGACAGACTGTGGAACAGACCATATGCAAACTCAAACTGAAGCTGAAGAAAATTAAAACAAGTCCACGAGAACCAAATATGACCTTGAATATAGCCCACCTGAATTAAGAGATACTCTGAAAAACAGATTTGATACATTAAACACTAAAGACCTCAGACCAGAAGAGTTGTGGGGATGACATCAAGAACATCATACATGAAAAAAGCAAAAAATCATTAGGAAAACAAGAAAAAAGAAAGGATCGAAATGGATGTCAGAAGACACACGAAAACTTGCTGCTCTCCAGTGTAGAGATACTAAATTAAATGGAAGACATGAGGTACAAGAGCCGAACAGAACATTTCAAAGGTCAGCTCAACAAGACAAAGTCAAATATTACAATGAAATATGCAAAGATCTGGAATCAGAAAACCAAAAGGGAATAACACACTCAGCATTTCTCAAGTTGGGGAAACTGAAGAAAAAATTCAAGCCTCGACTTTAGTTACTGAAAGATTCTCAGAGAAAATTATTGAATGACACAGAAAGCATCAAAAGAAGATGGAAGGAATACACAGAGTCACTCTACCAAAAGGAAATGGTTGATGTTTAACGTTTCAAGAAGTAGCATATGATCAAGAGCCAGTGATACCAAAAGAAGAAGTCCAAGGTGCATTGAAGGAATTGGCAAAGAACAAGACACCAGGAATTGATGGAATACAAATTGAAATCTTTTAAGAAAGTGAGGCGGCACTGGAAGCACTCATGCCAAAAAAACTTGGAAGACAACTATCTGCCCAGCTGATTAGAAGAGATCTGTATTTGTGCCCATTCCAAAGAGAGGTGACCCAACAGAATGTGGAATTCTGCAAAATCAATGATTTGTTCATTTCAAATACCTTCTTTAGACAGCATAAGACGGGTAATATTATTTACTTGCAAGTAATGTTTTACTAAAGATAATAGAGAAACAGCTGTAAGCATACATTGACAGAGAACTTCTAGAGGTTCAGGCTGGATTCAGGAGAGGCCGTGGAACAAGGGATATCATTCCTGATGTCTGATGGATCTTGGCTGGAAGCAGAGAATATTAGAAAGATGTTTACCTGTGCTTTATTTACTACACAAAGGCTTTCAATTGTGTGGATCATGACAAGCTATAGACAACATTGCAAAGTATGAGTATTCCGGAACACTCAATTATGCTCAAGAGGAATCTTTATGTGGACCAAGATGCAGTTGTTTGAACAGAATATGGGAACACTGAATGGTTTAAAATTAAGAACGGTGTGCGACAGGGTTGTATTTTCTTATCATACTTATTTAACCTGTATGCTGAGCAAATAATCTGAGAAGGTGGGTTATATGAAGAAAAATGTAACTTCAGGATTGGAGGAAGACTCATTAACAACCTGCTATATAGCGAGCTCTGGTAGCGTAGTGTTACAAATTGGGCTGCAAACCTCACAGTCAGCAGTTCAAAACTTCCAGCTGTTCTGCGGGAGAAAGATGAGGCTTTCTGCTCCTGTAAAGATTTACAACCTTGGAAACCCTGTACAGGTTGGAACCAACTCCACGGCACATCACAACAACAACATATACAGATGATTCAACCTTGCCTGCTGAAAATGAAAAGGACTTAAAATACTGATGAAGATCAAAGACCACAGCCTTTGGTATGGATTGCATCTCAGTGTAAAGAAAACAAAAATCCTAACCATTGGACCAATAAACAACATTCTTATCAACAGAGAAAAGATCGAAATTGCCAAGGACTTCATTCTTCTTGGATCAACTATCAATACTCATGGAAGTAGCAACACTCATAGAAGAAAAACATTAAGTATGAGTGAGTTCATATCTGTGGCAGAAAAGTATGGCAGTTTGTGGTGTGGTTAGTAGGGGAGTAGTTTCTTATACTCTCCCTGTTCTCTTCCATTACTATTAGGATTTTGAATGAGGGACAGTTGTAGGAACACAGGAATTTCTGTTGCCATCAGAAACAGGAAGAAGTAAGAGAGATGTAATTTTCTAAGACCTATACCTTGACCGGAATTCTGGTGTGGTTCTGTGGGTTAATGTGGCAGACTGCAAAGCCATTTGAACTGTAAGATCAGTGGTTCAAGCTACCAGCTGCTCCTCAAAAACTCTATACAGGGTCGCTATGGGTCAGAACCGACTCAACAGCACTTCACAAGAAAACCTTGACCAAAGAATCCTTCAATAACAAAAATCGAGACTTAAATTTTTTCTTCAGTTCCTGGACCAATTAACAACTATCAACGGAGAAAAGATTGAAGTTGTCAAGGACTTCCTTCCTCTTGGATCAACCATCAACACTCTTGGAAGCAGCAGTCAAAAAATCAAACGACGTATTGCATTAGGCAAATCTGCTGTACAAGACCTTTTTAAAATGTTGAAGAGCAAAGATGTCAGCTTGAGGACTAAGGTGCGCCTGACCCAAGCCATGGTGTTTTCAATAACCTCATATGCATGTGAAAGCTGGACAGTGAATAAGGAAGACCATACAAGAACTGACACTTTTGAGTTATGATGTTAGAGGAGAATCTTGAAAGTTCCATTGGCTGCCAAAAGAAGCAACAAATGTGTGTTGGAACAAATGCAGCCAGAGTGCTCCTTGGAGGCCAGGATGGCCAAACTTCGTCTTTCATACTTTGGACATGTTGTCAGGATGAACCAGTCACTGGAGAAGGATATCATGTTTGGTAAGGTAGAGGGTTAGAGAAAAAGAGGAAGACCCCCAGCGAGATGGATTGGCAAAGTGGCAGCATCAATGGGCTCAAGTGTGGCAACAATTGTGAGGTTGGCCCAGGACTGGGTAGTGTTTCGTTCTGTTGTGCATAGGGTCACTATGAGTCAGTACTGACTCAGTGGTACCTAACAACAACAATAGAAACTGTTAAAAATAAAATTTTACTATATTATGGCAAAATTCATAATGTTATTGTGTGAAGGGCCATGGAGTTGATTCTGACTCAAGACATGCTCCTGTGTGCTGAATAGAACTGCTCCGTAGACTTTTCAAGGCTGTTATCTTTCAGAAGCAGATTGCCAGGCCTGTCTTCCAAGGCACCTCTGCGTGGGTGTCCACCATCAGCCTTTCTGCTCGTCAACTGCGTAACCATTTGTATCACTCAGGGAATCTTAAATTCATAATGTTGTTATAAGGCGCTATCGAGTTGGTTTTAGACTCGAGTGACTCTATTTAATAGAGTGGAGCTATCCCCGAGTTTTCTAGGCGGTTATCTTTAGAGAATCTTATCACCAACTCTTTCTCTTGTTGGGCTGTTGGATGGGTTCAGATTACCAGTGACAGCGAAGAATTTAGCCTTTGTGCTACCAGGGCTCCTTACAGTCACCATGGGCGCTTTTAAGTGAGTGAAAATGCTTCTATTACATGGTTAATAAATTTGATAATGTTTAAGCTGCCACTTGTTATTAAGTTTTTAAATGCTGTCAAGTCGGTTCTGACCCATAGCGACCCTGTATAGAGTTTCCAAGGAGCAGCTGGTGAACTTGAACCACCGACCTTGCAGTTCAAACGACTTTGCTGTTTGATGCATTAGCCCACAGCACCACACCAGGCTGCCACTAAAGTCCTTTAAAAACTGATTTTTTTTAAAAACCTTTATATTTTTTCATAACTCTTACATATACTCTACTAATAACTACTTTAATTACACCATTCACATTACCACAAATACTCTGTCTATACCTGGCATAATCTCCTTACTATCTTTGCCACTCAAAATGTCTGTCCTTATAGGCTCAAACTACTATAAAACACATTGAGAGCCCAGAAAATTCAAGGCAATGCATGTTTCTTTGTGAGCTATTTCCTTTTAATGGAATAGGCATCTAAGCCTTGTACCAATCGTTTTAATAAGAACTTATCTCTAGAACACAAAGACACAATGTTTTAATATGTTGTTGCTTTTATGTGCCATGGAGTCAGTTCTGACTCATAGTGACCCTGTATGGGGCATCTGAGGCTGTAAATCATTGTGGAAGCAGAAAGCCTTGTGTTTTTCATACAAAACTGCTGGTGGGCTCTAGCCACTGATATGTGGTTCACAGTCCAGTGCTTATCCTCTATAACCATCATGATTCCCATATTTCAATACAGCAAACCATGAAGTTCATCTTAACTATCACAGGATCGTAGTTATAACCGTTTATTATGAATGATAATTTGTTGTTGTTCAGTGCTGTTGAGTCAGTTCTGACTCATAGCGACCCTGTATAGGGCTTCTGAGGAGTGGCTGGTGAGCTTGAACTGCCAACCTTGCAGTTCAAACCGACTTTGCAGTCCAGCAGATTAACCCACAGCACCACACCAGGACTTCTTGTGTCATAATTTTATTGTTGTTGTCAGGTGCCATCTAGTCGGAACCGACTCATAGCGACCCCATGCGCAGCGGAACGAAACAATGTCCGATCCTGGGCCAACCTCACTAC